AAAAGAAAAGAAACGCTTCAATGCCCACGTCAAAGAGAACACTTTCTGAGCGCTCCTGGCAATTACACCAGGACCACAAGCTGGGTTCTAGTGTAAACTGCTGTCTTGAGTCGCAGCTAAAGCACAGCTCCGAAACCACGTCCTTCCAAGTCCATCTTCACTCGCAGAGAGGTTGTCTGTCAAAGCCTCAACCATCCGCTTGGAAGGCTGAGCGGAGGAGTCGCGCGGCAGCCCGGCTCAGCCCAGAGTGGAGGAAAGCCAAGGGTGACAGACACCGGTTTCCTTCCTTTCTCTCCAGGGACAGCCTCGAAGCCGAACACTGAGGGCCAAAGTAGTTTGCGTCTACATGGCAGTCTCCGCAGGTTGAACAGCTTTTGACAAGATGGCCCTGGAGGGAGACGAGTGTGGCCTGGGAATGTGGCCTGAGAGCCCCGGGCAGCACCCACATGAGTTTATTTACCACCATCCAAGGGCCACTCATCAGGTCTACAAGGTCGGAAAGTTTGGTCTTGAATCTGGTTTTGAATTCGCAAGGAATCAGTGGTTTACGGATAAACTAAAACTAACCGAAGTTGGGGCGCCTGGGTGGCTCAGATGGTTAAGCGTCTGCCTTCGGCTCAGGTCATGGTCCCGGGGTCCTGGGATCGAGTCCCGCATCGGGCTCCCTGCTCCTTGGGAGCCTGCTTCTCATTCTGCTTCTCTCTCTCTCTCTCTCTCTGTCTCTGTCTCTCATGGATAAATAAATAAAATCTTTAAAAAAAAAAACAAAAAACTAACCGAAGTCACCAAATAAATATAGGTGCTGAAGAAGCAAGACAACAGAGTCCCCTGGCAGCACTTTCCTTCCCTTATCAAATAGGAAACGTTACAATGAGAAAGCTGTTTGACAAATAAAATCAATCGGAACAGAGGGAGGCTGGCTGGCTGAGCAGGCTACGTGTAATCCAAACCCGCAGCATTAGGCTGGGATAGGACCTGCCAACGGCCCCAGAGTGTCGGTCCCTTTGCTTCGGATGGTGCCAGGAGGGCAGGCCAACATGAACCCAAGTCTCTTCTTTGGTGCTCTGTCCACACCTAGATATTTGTTGAGCCAAACTCTGTGTTAGGTGTTGGGGATACAACAGTGAACAAAAAGGAGTCACCGGCCTCCTGCAGTTTGCAGCGCAGCGTGGGAGAGACTGGCATAAACAAACTAGTAAGTGCATAATCACAAGACGAGAAGAAGATTTAAAAAGAGATGAACAGGGCACTGGAATGAAGAGTAACAGTGAAGGCTCCACCTTCACAGAGAGTCAGGAACATGTAAGGGGAAAGCAAGGTAGCCTGAGAAAGGCTGCAGAGAGAAGAATGGGCCAGCAACCATGCAGGCCTTGGGCCGGGGGAGGAGGGAAGCTGAGTTTTATTCTAAATGCAGTGAGATGCAGTGAAGGGCTTTAAGCAGAAAAAATTTCAATTTACCTTTTAAAACACCATTTGGTAGCAGTACAGGAATGGATTTGAGGGGAATAGGACAGCAGGTGGGCAGTTTCTTGGGTTGTGCTATAATAACACCATCATGGACTCTTGGACAGTGGCAGTGGAGATGGGGAGAAGTGGGCAGATTCAAGATACATCGGGAAAGTAACGGCTTACCAATTAATTCGAGCCTGGAGCTGGGAGAGCAGGCTGTAATCACACACAACCTCTGAGACTCTAGGTTGAGCAGTTAGGCATGTCGTGGAGGTGTACACTGAGATAGGGCTAAAATCAAGAGTTCCGCCGTGGACATACTCAGGATTTCTGTACGATCTCTGGATGGAGATAGTGCATGGCCAGCAGTGTACACAAGACTGAGACGTGTCTAGCCACAGACAGAAGAACTGACAGCGGACAGTTAATAGAACCGCTTGGAATGGGAATCTAAAGACAGACGGTGCCATGACTGAGCACCGAGGAAGTCTTCACTCTGCGGGCAGATGAAGAAGAAAAAGCCAGCAAAGGAGACTGAGAAAGAACCGATGGTGGGAATGAAACCAGAAAAGCAGTGGCACCATAAAGGACCTTAAAAGAAGGGCGTGGTTCATTGTCACTGCTGAGAGAATCCAGAGGATGGGGGAAGTGGCCATTGAAATGGGGGGTGAAGCCCGACTCATGCCCTGATGTACTGGAAGAGACCCCTGAGCTGCACTAAAAGCACAGAACTAGCAGCTTTGGTTCTTATGTAAATCTGCTTTTCTGGTTCACACCTCTAAGTACCACCAAGTACCTTGTGTTTTCTTGAGCATGAAATCATAGCTGCACATCACTGGTTTCCCTGGGACTTCCCCCAAAGATTTAAAGTAGAATAATATCTACCCACATATATTCTTTTAGTGGACAATACGCTTACAAAAGGAAATACCATTAGACATGTTTTAAACTTGCAAGCTGTATCATTTTATAAAATGCCCGTTTCTGTTGTGTATATTTATCGGCTTTATGTGAATATTCTTCCTGTCATTTTCTATATGAACTTATCTAAAGGGCAGAGGGTGTTTCTTCTGTATGTTACGTTATGCTCTAACTATTCTTATAAATAGAATCATCTTTTACAATATAAAGGAGTCTTGAACTTTTCCATAAAGCAAAAAATGCTTTTAAAAAATCATTAATTTCTCATTTTTTTAGATCTGGGTTTTCAAGATTCATTTTTCTATAGGGTTTCTTTTTCATGGATATGTGCTAAATATTCATAAGTTGGTTTATGTTCAGTATCTTACTATGTTTATAGCAACAGGAAAATAAATTCCAGGAACAACAACAAAAAAAATCTTTGTTACTAAATTACATTAAAAGAAGCATCAAGATCTTGGAAAAGTTACTTCACCATTCTGAGCTCTGGTTACTTCATCTGTAAAACAGGGATTAAAACATACATGTGTGCTAGGGTAACTGGGAACTCAAGGGGCCAGGGTCACTTGGTAAATGTTTGGTAAATAAACATTTGGTAAATGTTTTTGCCTATTATCATTTTCATCAATAACCACACATACTTATGGTAACCCTACAATCCGATGTCCGATACCATGTTATGAGCATGGCAAGCAGAGGGGCCTGCTGGTTCGGCACTCTAGAAAGATTTCCAATGATAACAAATGTTTTCTTTTTCATGAGGTCACTGAATGCAAGGAGAGAAGAATCTCAAAGACGCCCACATCTCCATGGAACATTAAAGTTGGTAGTTCTTCCATCCCCTACCACCCCAGTACCTGGCAGATTAAAGAAGTTCAACAGCCAACTATGTAAAAAGAGTCTCAGGAGCAACACCTGCAGATAAACCAAGAGCCCGCCAGTGTGGGAAAATGCAAGGCTTTCAGGCAGGATCTGGGCCCTTAGTTGAGGATCAAAACTAATTGCCCCACCAGCTATCATGGTGGCTCTTGGTTCCAGCCCCTATTGGACTTTCTCCAGAAACTGACACTATCCGAAACCTCTAGTTGTTTGTTTCCTTGTTTACTACCTCCTCCCACTGGCTGTAAACTCTTAAAACTCTTGGAAGTGGGAGTCTCCATGCTTTGTCCACTGTAGCCCTACAGTGTCTTTATGTGCCTCCAGGGCCTTAGATGCTGGTCAGTTGACTGAAGGAATTTATAAAATTTTAAAGTCTAGGGATGAAATCTGGGATGAAGTTAAGTGACAGCTGTTAACAACTCATGAGAAAAACTAAGTAATACATATATGCTATGTATTTCTTCTAAAAATTGCTCTTTCCAGATCACTTTTAAATGTGATTTTATTAATATTGTATTATTTAACTACTGAATTGTTATACCTCACATATTTCACACAGAAAAGTAATTATAATATGCTTCTTATAAGTTTGGGTTAATAAATCAAGAAATTTAGCCTAAGTTTCAAGATTAATATAACCTAAACTAATCACAGGTTAGGTTTTAGGTGGACAGTGGGCCACATGAAAGGAAAACTGCAAAGTTAAGGTAACGATGCATATCAGAGACCTACATAAAAATCTGGTATCTATTTTACAGAATATTACATTAATAACTATTTAAAAGATATCTGAGTTTTGATAATGTTTTCCAATTCTCCTACACATATTATATTATAAAGTAGACCCATTTTTAAGAATCTATTAAAATTCACTTGGAATATACATTGATTTTATAATAAAGCATTATAGCTTAAAGAAATAATTATTTTAAAAAATGATAAATAGGGGCTTCTTTAAAAGCTGATATATATTTGTACATATGAGTTTCCATAGAAACTCATGAAATACTTACTAAACACCAATAAACAAATTTTAAATCTTAGGAGGTGAAACTCATGAAATACTAAACACCAATAAATTTTAAATCTTAGAAGGTTACAAAACTCATCATTCTTGACTTCAATATGTGTCTTTGTACATAATATTGTTTACAGTACAATTACTCAAAGTTTCATTGATTGGTTTTTAAATACTTACAGCTTGAGCTTCCTCATTATCAAACGTAAGCAGCTCTAGAGTGGAATCCCCTTCCAATGGACGGTCCAAGTCCCATAATTCACCATTTACTTTGGCTACAACCGTGCTTTCAGCCAGCTCTGGACTAGGAAGAGAAAAGTCACTTGGGAGTTAACCTTATCACATGCTACAATGATTCATTAAAACAAAAGATTAGAATACTTTCCAGGGTTGTTTTTTTTTTTAAGTGAATAGAAAGTACAAATGTAAACTAACAGAGCAGATTTTTTTTTATTTCGTACATTTATTTTAGATACAAAAGTAGTATACATCCACTGTAAACAACCACCACCACCACACTTGGAAAACAGAGAAAACACAAAGAATAAAATAAAACTCACATCTAAATCTTACCACCCTGAAAATAACTACTCCTAGCATTTTAGTACGTGTCTTTCTAGTCTTTTTCTACATCCACCCCTCCTTCTGTCTCTCTCTCTCACTGCCCCCCACACACATTTATTGTTGTTCGAAAATTATTGACAAAAATAACACATTAAGAACCTGGAAAGCACAGGAAAGCAAAGGAAAAAAAAAAAAAAACACGCTCAATCCCACCACCCAGAGATTACTTGTTAACATTTTGTTCTACGTCCCTCCACATTTTTTGATAAATATATACACCACAATAAAAATCTAATAATAGTACCATTCTGTATATGTTATCTGGTAACGTACTTTTTAAACTTTGTAAGTCACACGTTTTCCCTGACAATAGACAGACTTGAAAAACACACTAGTAATTAGTTGCAGAAGAAACAAGACTTGCTTACTAAGCCCTCTCTGGCTGGGCATTTTGGTTATTTCTTTGTGGGGGTTTTTTGCTTTGTTTTGTTTTGGGACAAATAACACTGCAGTGAACATTCTTGAACACACATCTTCGTGTCCAATCATTTTCTCTGGAAAAATTCAAGAAGTAAAACTGCTGGGTCAAGGGAAATATGCTTTAATGACATCTGTTGGAATATACTGCCAAATTTTCCGACCAGGAAAGGTGCAAGAATACCTTTTCTCTTTCCCCTCATAATGTCAGGTACTATGAAACCACGTCCTCTTTCCAATATGATGTTTTAACTTGCATTTCTGTGAGTAACTTGAGCTTCGGTACAGTGCTGTGGTTAAGAGCACCTGCTCTGGGTTTGAACACTGAACAATTTACTCTAAGCCTCGGCTCTCTCATCTGTAAAATGGGGATTTACAGGACCTTCCTCATCCATTTATTCTAAGGATTAAATAAGGCATACTCACAATAAAAACTTCCTAATAAATGCTAGCTACTGTTATTAATGAAGCAGAATTTTATTTTCACTTTTACTGGCTGTGTAGACTGCTAAGGGTTCTTCAAATCCATTCTCTCCTTCTTGTACAGGAGTTTGCAGCCTTCCTTGCAGCCAGATGTGGCCATGTGACTAGGTTTGGAAGCAATGGATACAAGCAGAAGTGGCCTGTAGCACTTCTGCATCTCAGCCTTAAGACAACAGAGAGCCCTTCTCCATCCCCTCTGCGCATCCTGCACACCACAGCGCATGTGCGCTGTTCCCCCCCGACCATGCAGACAAGCGCAACACTGGACATACATACAGATGGTCCCGCAACCAAACGGAAGGAATTCAGGTCTCCAGATACTTATGAAGAAGAGTGCTGTCCTGCCGAGTCGGCCCCCCGCACCTCCAGACTGCTACCGGAGAGAGACTCCGATCATATTTACGCCACTGAATTTTTTGTTGAAGCAGCTTAGCCTGTATCTTAACTAATACAAAAAAGTAAGGACCTGGAGGTGAGTAACAAAATCAAAACACGTCGCACTGGCTTAGCAAACGGGCAGCAAGATGTGGCCAACACCCCTTGTCGTGGCATCATTCTGTATTTGATAAGTATCAAATACTGATAGATACGTGATTAAATAGTTGAGATCATATTTGGTAAAGCCTGAAAGCAAACGAATGCGCTTACAATGCTTGTAGCATATAAGGAAGCAGGCATAAAAAGGCAGAATGTTGGTAAACGCTGGACAGCTACTGCAGCTTTTGCAAAACACCACCAGACCCAGCTCCGCGCGGGTGAGAATTATACGGTTTGCAGGCAGAAGATGGAAGGCACAGGACTTTGCCAAGAGAGGCTCTGCCTGTGGCCTGTAATCCAAACTGACTAAGAGTCCAGAAATGTGAGGCTGTGCCAGATTGGAGAAACAGTCATTTGTCCCAAACAGCAGGAGAGACAGGCACGGACAGCGCTTCTCAAAGGCCAACGTCAAGACTGACAATAGGGGCCAGGCCCACTGCAGGGATCAGAGTAAGGGTGTTGCCCTCCCACAGCCTGTTGCTTCATATGACTTCAGGCCATTAAACTGAGGGACAGAGGAATGAGCCAAGCACAAAAGCCAGGAAAAAAAGGGGTGAGAAGTCTCTCTCTAGAATTCTTAGATGATGGAATTGTCTAGATGATGGACAACTAGGAACCTCCCCAAGAGCAAAACCAGGGCCTCCGGGGGACTGTGGACCAGAAAACAAAGGGTGGCCAGATGGGCTGACCCAAGCACTGCCCACTGCCAGGCTGTGGGCCTCCCGATCGCTGCCAGCAGAATCTGATGGCTTCTGTCCACTACCGGATGCCCTACTGCTCCTTCTTCTTTTTTCCAAATACACTTCAATCATGTTGGCCTCGTGTGTATTCCACCACTGTATGTATACACATGTGGGGTGGGCAGCCCTGTCTATCAGCTTATTTGTTGCTAGAGTGTAAGGGGCCAGCCTAACGAACGGGGTGTTCTGCACATCACTTGGAAATCCCACACTTTCAGCTGTTGGGACCCACAGCTGTCTCGCCTGGGGAGCGACCAAGTGTGCAGGATGATGAAAAAGGGATCTCAGATTTCTGGATGTCACAGGGACACACTGTGGCAGACGCTGTCCCCTAAACCATGCTTTCCCTCTTCCACGGGAAGAATGCTTTAGCTGGACATGTGGCTGGCCAGCAGAAGCGACATTTCCATTCTCTCTTACTGCTAGGGGTGGCCAGGTGACTAAAGGTGAGCTAATAGGATGTAAGAGGAAATCAGAGTGTGCCATTGTGGGGTCTGGCCCTCAAAGCATTACTGTTCCTCAGCTGTCTTCCCCCTGCCTGCAAGCAAGTCCGTGAGTCCATGAACTTAGCTTCCACCCCTAAACACGGACGAACTGTGACCTAGGAGATGGCAGATCAACAAAACAGAAGGAACCCAGGTCCATAAATGACTGCATGGACCAGGGATGTCCACTAGCCTGGACTGGTCATCTCTGGACTGCCATATGAGAGAACGTGAGGTCTACCTTATTCAAGCAATGGCCGTCGGGGGAGATCTCTTAAGATAGCAGTGTAGCCTAACTCAGTGGTTCTCAAACTTGAACTTGCATCAGAAACTCCTGGCGGGGCTTACAAACACAGAGACTAATTATTCAAGAGGTATGGAGCAGGACCCAAGAATTTGCTCTCCTAAGTTCCCAGGTAATGCTCATGCTGTTGGTTTGGGGACCACACTCTGTGAACAATTCTTTCATGAACTACTACGAACTGTCCTTTGCCCCGTTTTTCTACAGGGGTCTTTTCTTTTTTTTAAAGATTTTATTTATTTATTTGACATAGAGAGTATGCACACACAAGCAGAGGGAAGCTGCAGAGGGACAGGGAGAGGCAGACTCCCCATTGAGCAGTGAGCCCCACCTCTACAGGGGTATTTCCTTAGGACAAATGGCTATGTATAGAATTACTGGGTCCAAGGTTAGGGTTTGCATGTTTTTAAGGCTTTAAAAGTTTGAAAGAGACTAGACCTATTTATCCACCCTCCAGCAGTGCCATTTCCCCAAGACTGTATCAATGTTAACTGCTATGCATAAACCTTGGTCAAATCGAGAACACATAATTTTCATTTATACTTCTAAGATAATCTGTTCCTCTCTTGAAGTTTTCATCTTTTTCCTATTAATTTTAAAAACACTTAGAGAGCAATCATTAGTTTTATATGGTACATTTTTTTTACATCTGTCATTTCCTGTTTTACATGTCATTTTTACACATTGCCATTTTTCTTAAGCATTTTATTTTGTGTGCCGTTTGAATTTATCCATCTTTTCCTTAATGATTTCCACATTACATGTTATGCTTAGACTCCCCCAGAGCAGGAATAATCATCTATGCAATCAATTCTCAGTAACCCAAGAGAATAGGCAGTATAATTTAATAAAACTATTAATTTCTCACTTATTTTATATCCAGCCACCTCACTGAACCCTTACTTATTCAAACAGTTTTCCAGTTAATACTATTCTCTAATTCACTTTTTTTTTTTAAGTAGGAGCCCAACAACAGAGCCCCACTCACAACCCTGAGATCAAGACCTGAGCTGAGATCAAGAGCCTGTCGTCCCACCAACTGCGCCACGCAGGTGCCCCTCTCTAATTCGCCTTGGAGCTCCCCCCTTTTTATAACTGCCTGAGTTGAATTCTTAGTCTGTTTCTTCTTCTTTCTCATTAGAAAAACCTTTGACACTACAAATCTGTTTCTGATCACTACTTTGGCCCTATTCCACAGATTTCTGATATATATTCTCCTCATTAAAGTATTTTCTAAAAATCCTGTGGTTTTTATTTTCTTTTACCTGAGTTATTTTGAAGTGTTTATTTTTGTAATTTTCAAGTTTTATTTTGTTTTGTCTTGCTGTCATTTAATGTTTACTGAGTTCATAACGGATTTCATTTTACCTACAGAATATGTGAACTGTACTTCCACATGTAATTAAGGTTCTGAGGAGCCAAAAACCCAACCACAGGTGCTGAGATATCTCTGTCTGTAGACCACAGAGACTGGTGAGCAACCACTAAGTCCCCCTCACAGTGTTATTATTCAGACACATATAACCCTAATGTTTACCTATGTGATCGGTCCAAAACCGGTCCAAAGACAGGTTAAAGCCTACCACTCCTGAGTGTCTTTAATTTTGTATTTCTGATCTGATGCTACATCATTTAACTCCTAAAGTTCTGTGACAAATAGTCATTGTGGATTACACTGTTTGTCTATTTTTGAAATAAGCCTCCCATTTGATGATTTAAGCCCTGAATTCTGGTGTCTTGAAGTAATACTATGATCCCGGCTCTCCTTCTTAACAGGTTTGCCTGATATGCCCGCTTTGCTCATCTTTTGGTTTAGGCTAACTTTACTTTTTAGACGCTCCTACAATCCCACTATCATGAAATTTGATTGTACGATCTGTAAGCTGGTACCCTGTGGAAATGCAGATTATTAAAGGTATAATGAAGAACCTGTCCTATAATCCAGTAACTTTGCTTCCCAAGTTCGAACAGGATTCTTCCGTGCAGAACCAGTCTCTAATATGCCAACATGCAAACTGACTCGCCATGAAGAAACATAATTTATTTTTGCCTCAAAGCCCGTTTTTTCCCAAGCACATCTAATCATCTCTCTCCTGGAAAACATGGGAATAGGTTGGGAGAGGCCGTTAGAGTGCAAGATATGATGGGATGGAAAAATATATATATAATTTTAATCATAGTTTTCCAAGGAAATCTGAAGATTTCAACTGTTGAAAAAGCTTGCTTTTTAAATAGTAAAAGTATTATTTAGTTATTAACTATAATAGTAAAAGTTTATTTAGTTATTAACTTATGGCAGTCTTGAGCTATAGCTTCCATAGGATTATATTTAATGCTAGGAATTAACATTGGTCAAAATAACATAACTTCACTAATGTATCTAATTTCTAGGAAAGTCAAAGTATTTATTCCAGGGTTGATAATAGCTCTAACACATACACCTTCAATCTATAATAAGTTGCTTTGTACATTTCTAGAGGCACTTTAATTTTCAGAGTATTTTTCATATGCAGTATTTTATTTAATTTTTACAACCTCATTAGGTAAATGGGAAAAGCAGTATTATTCCACAGAGATAAAAAGAAACAGGCTTGAAAACCTTCAGGGATCTGCCCAACGTGGTTCAAAGAACCACCCATGGTTATTTACTGGTGGGACGATGACTTGACTTGGAGTCAAGTCCAGCAAAGGATCAGTAAAATCCCATGGAAATACTTTGATGATGTACAAAGTCAATGTAAAGTGACCTGTCAAGGATTACACATTTTCCTCTACTATATATTTTTCTTAGAACTTTAAAACATGGCAGGGGGGAGCGCCTGGATGGCTCGGTTAATTAAGCGTCTGCCTTTGGCTCGGGTCATAATCTCAGGGTCCTGGGATCGAGCCCCACATCAGGCTCTCTGCTCAGCGAGAGCCTGCTTCTCCTGCTCCTTGCTGCTTCCCCTGTTTGTACTCTCTCTCTCTGTCAAATAAATAAATAAAATCTTAAAAAAAAAAAAAACTTTAAAATACATTTTAAAGAAGAAGAGATTTTATTCTGGTATTCAACTACTTATTTAAATGCCCTATTTCGAAGCCAGAGGGAAAAAATTAATGATATTTAACTTATTCAAATAAGAAAAAAAAAATATTTTCACAGTCCCCAGGGAACACACTGTCACCAAGCTCTGGCACAATACTACATAATGAATATCTTCTCCAAACTATGGTTTTACCTAATTTCAGTGGCCACTTGATAAGGTGTTGTTTTCCAGACTTCCCCTTCCATGGTTTTCCCACCAGCCACTCTCACTGTGATCACATTGCTTGTATTCCCCTTTTTGTCAGTAACAGCAAATAAGAGCTGATGGTCTTGCTTCAATATTTCAAACAGCTTCAATCTTTCCTTCACAAAATCTGGTCGATTTGTCACCTGAAAGTCATTAGAATACAAGAAGGTTAACATACACAGCCCACTTTTTTCTACCTGCTCACCCTGCAGTAAGGCTCACCCCAGGTCATTTCCAACTCTCCTGCCAGTCACTTCCCACCTCCTTCTTAGGTCTTAGGGTCCAGCTCAAAGCCCACCTCTTCTAACTACCATATCTCCCTCCACCATATGTTTAACACTCGTCTATGCACAGTCGCACAATTCAGCACCTACCCATATACCATCCTACTTCGTTCTCTGTTGTCTTTCCTGTTTGTCTGATCTCAACCAGACTGATTCCTCCGCGGCCAGGTTTTCCTCTTTTGCTCCTGCCAAGTGTTTATCCTCAAAACCTACTCTGGTTTGTTTTCATGATTGATATGGTAGCTAATTTCCTTAACACAAAAGTAAAGCTCTGCTATCTCAACTTAAATAGACAAAGAAGCACTTAAAGAGAGCTGTGTGGCTAGCTCAGCTCGAAGTTAAGACATCTTGTAGCTAAAGCTTGCAAGGTTTTGAATATACTACTAGTGTTGTAATTTAATTAGTAACTATGTTTTAATTTAATCTGGGCAATTAACTGTATCAGCATGTTTAAATTACAGGTAGTATTTTACATTATTTCCATAGCAACAACTCACCTCCCTCTCAGGCCTGCTATCCTCCTTCACTTCAGTGTTCTTTTCTTGGGTTTGACTGGAAGGAGGCTGAGAAATAAAGGTAAGTTATAAATAACTCATACCAATGACGAGAAAGAGGAACACATCGGAAACAGAGGAGAGAGCAGTCAGCAAGTGTCCCACGTTGGAGCCTGGGCTTCCCTGACCACCACCTAAACTCTAGATGAGCAACTCACTTTCTGGGGTTCCATCCTTCCTGTCTGTGCATTTTCACACACTCTTGCGAAGTACATTTAACATATTTTGCTCTCTAAAGTTTTTTCCCCTAAACTTTAAACATAATGTCACTGGAAAATGGTAGTGTAGCTGCCGCCGCACTGTAGATACACTATTTTAGGAAGATGTTGCCAGTGTACCACAGTTACCCTTGGTAAAGAACTCAAGAACACCCCACAGTCTGAGAACGCTTTTAAACTTCAGAAAACGTATTATGTTACACGATGATAATCTGTCCTTCAATGAGCCAAAATATTAAAACACTCTATTAAATAATAACGCTAAATATACAGATCTCAACAAGTGAACAACAACAAAAGCCCCCAAAACCACCTGTCGTAAACAGCTCAGAACCAGCCATTCATTAGACGAAATGGATGAGTTCACTTTCGTAGCTGTTGGTCTTCCTGCTAAGAATAGTGAGTTTTAAACACTCCAGCATTTTTTTTTTTTCAAACAAAGGAAGATGCTATTTCTGCTACTGAAGAAAATATGTGGCAATTTACTGGAAGAGCTGAGAAATGACACCATTAAGTCAGTCTGGCGACTGCTGGAAATACAGGGCTCCAAGGGGTGTCCAGGCCCCTCACTGGTTCCCCAGGCCGTAGCAGGTGCACAGGGCAGCGCTCCGCCAGGCGCCGGTCCAGCAGCGCGCCGCGGCCGCAGCCGTCCTTCCGGCGGGACCACCGCCACCCGTGCACCACGCAGCCC